TTTTACTGGTGTCTGATCCACAGTTAAGGGGACCTGATCCACACGATAATTCCATGATTGACTGCGTGTGGACCACAGCGTCCTCTACCGGGGTTGAACGTTCAACTTGTGACAAACTTTTGTTTGAACAGAACTACAACTCGTACGGGTCTATGTCATCCGAAATAAGGGATACAACCATTCAAATCGAAGGAGTCACACAACCACAGGGAAAATCACATATTATTGACTAAAAAAAAAAACATTTTTAAAATCACAGATTAACGACGCAGGCAACATTTAAAAAATACATATTACTGAGTCAGGCAAGGAACTTCATAATAAAAGTGGGAGGGGTAGAAAAGAAAAGACAGAAATATCGCTTATTCCAAATTCCTGTGGTATAATGGGGTGGGATGGCAAGGGGGTAGCTGGTACAGGTTATAAAAACGGCATTTTACAGAAAATGAAATGAAAGTTCCATTTACAGTAACAAATAGGTTTTTCCACTTTACAGATAAAGCAAATTCCGAATTACATTTTACATTTTTATAATATATTTGATAATTTGTGTTTAAGAATCAAAATTGGAACTTGAACTTGCATACGAATTACGACATTTAATGTGGAAAATGTTTTATACGATTCCAAAAAATAAGATCTTTGTACAATTTACGGACGAATAAAATAGCTGATTACATTTTACACCTTGCCCGTGTCTACTATTTTTGTATTTATTTAAATTACATTATTACGAAAATAAAAACAATTCATTACAGCTTACGAAAATACCACTAATAGGTGTACAGTGCGTCAACACAGGCGGCGCTGTACGCTGTGGCCGTGTTGCTGTTTAATATCCCAGAATTCAAGAGTCAAAATGTCTGCGCCCAGGACGACTACATTTGCTTTAGGTGAATGTTTAGTTTGATTTGAAAGCAGAGCTGTGATACTTGTCGGTTCTTTGTTTCGTTGTAATTCGTTTTAGTCGATAACTGATCGTGATACATGTATTTGTGATTTCATACCAGAAATGTACAACCAGGACACAGACTTCTAATTTGAACTTCGCTGAAACCAGACGATTCCATCAGCATTCATGATTCATCGTTACTGTATATTCATTTCCAAAAGGATGTTTACGTGAATAATGTGTTTCTCAAACACGTAGTAATGTTACAAAGAGTAAGGAAGCAAAGTAGCGCTTAATACTGAGCAAGATGTAATGAAATTAAAAAAAAACCGCTGCATACACACTCCTACGATCACAGGGAGCCCAGGAACTATATAATCAACTGTACTCCATGTGCTTCGATCTTCAAGTTCACAATTTGATTTGCAAAAAAATAATTTTCATTTGAGTAATTTTTTAATTTCATAGCTGACTGAATAATGATCTGTCGAACATCTGGAAAATATTTACTCTCTAGCGTCAATGGATGTTACTGCAGCAGTCAGCGTATTCGTGATGTGATATTTGATGTGATCGTAGTTGGGGGAGGCCATGCAGGATGTGAAGCTGCACATGTTGCTGCTAGAATGGGTGCATCTACGTTACTCATAACACACAAAATTCAAAGCATTGGTGAGTATTTTATTTTATGTTTTTATAAATACAGCAATTCAACACTTCACGTGCTGAAAACTTCCATGGATAGTACCAGTATATATAACTGCATCACCAGGTGATGTTTTAAGAGATTATGGGAGCATCCATTTCAGTCAATACTTCCAACAACATGGAGCTAAAAAAGAGAGGACACTATTTAATTCATTGTTCTATGATAATTATAGTTTATTCGCTCTTCAGCTGATATCCACTTCGTTTATCTTGAAATATAAACAGATTAACATAATAATCTTTTGCTGGTCAACCTTAAGTGTCTGTAAGTTTCTTCCATACTGGAAATTGTATAGTATAAATGTAAAACAAAAATCCAAAATCCCAAAAGAGAAATTTTGTTTATTTAGTAGAGGTGTGATTGCTAAAAAAAACAATTACAAAATGTTAAACTTGTGTGCTTTACGGTTAAAAGTAGTCATACTATTATCATAAATTGTGCATTTTCTCTCTCTGCACTCAATGACATGAAAAATAATCTATCTACATAAACTTATCGAGATGTGATCTTCCACAAGTTTGACATCTTCCTAAACAAACAATGAAAATGGGAAAAATCGTGTTTTAAAAAATGATTTCTCACCAATGGACATCAGTGGACAGGGATAAGAAATATCTCATCTTAACCATCTGTTTTCAAACGATTCATAGGAACTTTAAAATCTGTCAGGACTCATTTTGGTGAAATATGTATAGTCTTTGAAAATCAAGTTCTTTTCAGCATGCAAGACAAGCAATTGACTGTGACACACTTAAAGGTATTATGTTTCTAATGTCAGGGTGGAATGAA